CTACCATCACTGTATCTCCTTCTAATTAGACAGATCTTGATATCACTTCGGTCGTGCTATTGAATTCTTTCCCTAGCCATACGAAACGACTTAACCAGTTCATTATGCTCATCCAACATTAATGTCAAGCGACCAACAATTTCCTCATGCAAATCAGAAATACCATCAGAGTTCCTATAAGAAATAGAAATTAAAAATCATAATCATTTCCACAAATATGTTATAAATAATACATTATTATAGAATAAAAATATAAATAACCTCATAATATGTTACGCAAATTACTAACCTGACTGCATTCATTCTTTTGTATAATTCATTATCCGTATCATATATATAAAGTTGTGCAAATTTTGGAGTTGCACCTTCGGATGGATGTAGACTACCCATCAGATGATAGCTTTGGCCATGTAGAGTAAATACCAGAGGACCTGTACCATTGTTGATTTCTGCATTAATCTTCCCACCCAAAGAAGTGAAACCAAACATACTGTTATAAGATCTTATATTCTTCTGAAAATGTTTGCTATGGCGGCTATCCCCGTGTCAAAGCTCATTTAAATATGCAGGTGGATTATTGAGTACAGGTAGTTGTATCGTCCCATTCATACAACAACCCTTATATTCAGGAAGAGCTGTTGCCTTTGTAGAAGACTTGCGCTCAACATACCAAAACAATGCTCCGCATTAAATACATTGACAGCTTGCATCCCCCATGTCCCAGTATTCTAAAACATATAAAATTTAGAAAACATATTAGGTTGCAACAAATGAGAATGAAAAAAAAAAAAAAACAAAATTGATGCTTATTCACGCAAAACATACCGGATTGGGTCGATGTGGATCCAATAATCTTTTTTGGTCTACCACGTTTTATTTGGGGAACGGGAAGGGGGACAACATCATTCGCATTATGATTGACTACGTAACTGAAGTAAGTAGGCAAAGAACTAATTAACTCAAAAACATATTAAATTGCAACAAATGAGCTGAAAAGAACAAATATAATGTTTTATTAACGTAAAACATACCAGGTTGGGTCGATGTGGACCCAATAATCTTTTTCGGTCTACCACGTTTTATTTAGGGAACGGGAAGGGGGACAAAATCATTCACGGTATGATCGACTACATAATTGAAGGAAGTAGGCAAAGAACTAATTAAGTCAAAAACATATTAAATTGCAACAAATGAGCTGAAAAAAATATATAATGTTTTATTAACGTAAAACATACCAAATTGGGTGGATGTGGATCCAATAATCTTCTTCGGTCTACCAGGTTTTCTTTTGGGAATGGGAAGGGGACAACATCATCTATAGGTTGATCAACTACAATATTGAAGTTAGTAAGCAAAGAACTAGTTAAATAAAAAAACGTGTTGAATTGTAAAAAAAATTATTAAAAAAATAATTTTAATGTTTTATTAACGTAAAACAAACCGATTTGGGTCATGTGGATACAACAATCTTCTTCGGTCTACCACGTTTCTTTTGGGAACAGGAAGGGAGACAACATCATCCACGGTGAGATCGACAGCATCATGCAACACAATAGGCAAAGACCTCTTTCTATCGCTATTAATAGCAGGTATAGAATTCCTTGAAAGATGAACTGTACATTTTTTTATTTAATTATTTATAACAATTAATGTATAACTAATGAAATAATATGACGTTAACTAAAGAAATTTTAATCTTACACGTGTTTGATTGGTTCGGAGGCATATAAGGCATAACTACAGAACCATCATAATCATCATTATCACTTGTAAGGTCTATGACAGTACTTTGGGTAATATTTTTTGGCAAATTTTCATTAGGTTGATGGACACGACCTGAAAAAAAAATAATATATATTAGTTGAAAAGAAAGAAATTAATGTTGAATAATAATACAATTCAAATATATTCACAAAATATGAATGACTTACTGTTTTTAACAGTATGTGCGATTTGATGCCTTTAGGTAGAAGAACAACCGATATGTAACTCTACCTAGAACAAAGAATAATAATAAGACTAAAACACTTAATTAAAGTATAAAAAATAAAAAAAAAAGTACATTTATATACATTCAATGGAACACACCATGTGCAAACACCAGATAATGGCGTGATATGAGGACTATGTAACGCACTTTGATACTTATAGGACATACAACCCCAATTGTTTGATCTTTGTTGAGGAATAAAAAATGATACATGGCTCGATGGTGACGTCATACAACCTGTTTATAAATTAACAATGTATAATTCATAAGATTAAAAAATATATACACACTAAGTAATTATAAAAATGAATAAAGTAAAGTATTTTATACCTGGTTTAGTATTGTATTTAGTCTGGACCATTGGTGTGGAAGAACGACCATGTCCAATCACTACAATAAAAAAAATATATATTTATTAGTATAATAAATAATAAATAATAAATAAAGTATATAATGCATTTTATGTATGAAGGGAAGAACATTATACCATTTGTAACATCAGATAATGGTAAGATCTGAGAACCATGCAACACACTATGATATTGATATGAAGAAATGTTTGATTGACTATGCTTTCGTTGTGCAATAAAAGATGATATGTTGACAACGGGTGGTGTCATAGAACCTGTCAAAATGTAGACAAATAATATATTAGTCAAATGTAAAATTGTTTAATAACTAATCGACATGCAAATAATTTTAAAAATTTGTTTAATATTTCTTCGTAATTTTTTTATAACACATGTTTTACGTAATTATAAGCCCTTAATTATTTGTGGTTTGTTAAATTTCAGCACAACATATAGATAATTTAATGTATGTGATCCAAGGCCCAACAGAAGGTAAAAAGGCCTCAAAATTTAGTACAAAAAACACATTCTAGGTGCAACATACCCGATGTATAAAGTAGGACGGTGGCATTTTTATAATAAAATTATTATTATGTATATGTGGTTCTAGTAACCCCATATACAAACCCAAGGTCTATCACAATTAACATAAGATTATTGTCCACAACGTATAAAATATAAACTATTCATATGCAGTAAAACCACCCTTTATAAAAATTATACTTTCTATAGCAGTCAAAATTTCACCACATACAGATAGTGAATAAATCATACATCAAATACGTACAAATCAGATTTACAACCATACTTACATAAATTAATTCATCACTTATTAGGGTTAAACAAATTGGTTCTCCAATGGACTGTTCACTTTCCCGCTTCTTCTCTATCTGCGCATAAACACAAATTGGCTTCGACTTTCCGATCGCCTGTCTTTGTAGCCCTGCCTCCGCATGCCGTTAACACGTTTGGTTCCAGCCCTCGCTTCCGACGGTCGTGAAATTCAAGCCCTCGATTCTGTCCGTCGTGAAGTTACAGCCCCTGTTTCCGTCTGTCGTGAATTTCTAGTCCCAGTTTTCGTTGAACACGTTTTGCCTCCACCACTGTCACCGCCGATGCACCAGACATTCGTTGTGAGTTTCCCTATTGTCTCAATTATCTGCACACATTATTTGTTTCAAAATTGTTTTTGTTTGTGCCTAGTTATTTCACCAAATTACTACAATTTGATAATAGTTTGAAGTTATTGTATAGACACATGTTGTTAGTTACAAGCTAATATATTATGTGAATGTTTTATTGTTTCATGAGTTTTGGTGATGTCTAGTTGGTTTTGTTATTTCATGAGTTCATCATCCATGTCCAGTACCCTCATTGTTCTGGTGATGTAGATAATGCATTAATAATAATACAAATATGGCAAGCTTATAACAATTTTAAGTGATAAATTTTTTGAAGTGCTTTTTCACACCAAAAGAACCAAAACCACACTAGTACAAAAAACACATTTGATAGTATATGTATTTTTATATTAAAAAAATGTGATGATTTGGCCTTATACAATTAAATAGAAGATTATACATTAAACAAGAATGAGCAGAAAGTTGATTATTGACTTTTTTGCTGTTGAAAAAGCTACTTAAGAGCATTGATCATAAAGTATGAAAGATTAGCTTGGACTATGATGAATAAAGTTAGGAAGTACTTGGTTCTGCTTATTGCTTTCCTTTTTCTTGTAATCTTTAACCTTTTCAGTAGCTTCTTCATTATTTTTCTTTCTTTTTTAATAATTGTTTTCTATATAATTTAGCTCTCTAAAACCGTATTTTCTTAATCATTGAAAAAAAAAAAGATTTTTTAGTGCTCTATTTCATTAAAGAATGTCATGTGTCTTGTGGTACCTGTATTTTAAACAATACTTTGATTGTGTGTGTCATCTTGGATCAGCTAGCTAGCTCTGCCTAAGCTGGTATTAATAAAGTTTAATATTCTTGTCTGAATTTTATCTGAGCACTTTGTGAATTGTGAATGTATATAAATGAAAATGTGACCCCATTTTGATTGTGCTAAGCTATCTGGCCATTCAAGTGATATAAGAAGGGTAGTTGGCATTTGTGGGTTTTTACTTCTCCTGCTGCTTGCTTTACTGAATTTTTATTATCTTGCAAAATTATTGCACTTTCTTCATTTTAACTTTATTTATTTTTCAGAAGCCACAGTTGATACACATTAATGCTTGATAAATAAAATTTGCATTTGCATTATTGTGAACACCACAACGGTCCTTGCTATATAGTTATACTGTCAGTTAGTTTTAAACAAATCCAAACACCTTGCTATATAGCTAACCCAGCCTCGACACCAACACCAAAAAATCTAAAACGATAAAATTTATATTAAAAAAAGGAAAATGAATTGTTGCTAATGTTCTGACTTTTATAGAAGGAAAAAGTCATTTAAAAAAGACAAAAGGAATTATTTGTTTTGAGTACTCTCCCTATAATATTTTATTTTGAGTAATGCTTTTATTTAACTAATACAAATTCTTGTATATAAAGTGGCGAGTCATATGGCATGTGTATGTATATGCTTTCTATTTTCTCTTTAATTGCAATATTTTCATTTATATTATAAATTTAACATAATTATTACAGTGAGTTATGGATCGTACCTGGGTCAATGCTGTGCGTACAAGTAGCGAATATGAGAATGGAGTGGAATACTTTTTGGAGTATGCTAAACAACATGTTTCCAATAATAATGGAAAATTTTGCTGTCCTTGTGTGAACTGCCTAAACGATCGACAATTATCTATTGAAGAAATCAGGGAGCATGTCCTTTGTGATGGTTTCAATCGTAGTTATACGAGGTGGATTTGGCACGGTGAATTTGACATGCCAAGTGTATCCCAAGACGAACAAATTGATGCTGGTGATGCAGATATGTATGATCGGGTGGAGGACATTATTAATGATGTGGGAGCAGAGGCGTTTGAACAAGCACATATGAACAGAGTTTACGAGTCTTTGTCTACTGAAGCAAATAAGCCACTCTACAATGGTTGTGAAAAGTTCTCACGTTTGACTGCAATATTAAAACTAATCAACTTGAAGGCGACACATGGATAGAGTGATAAAAGTTTTACAGAGTTGCTACGCTTGCTTCAGAATATGCTTCCCGAGGATAATGAATTGCCTGATTCTAATTATGAGTCAAAGAAAGTATTGTGCCCTTTAGGCTTGGGGTATAAGAAGATTCATGCTTGTCCTAACGATTGTGTTTTGTACAGAAATGAATATAAAAGTCTTGAGGAGTGTCCAGTATGTGGGGTTTCTCGTTTCAAAGAGGAAACTGATGCTAATTTGAGTGTTTGTGTTCGTAACAAGAGACCACCGGCGAAGGTGTTGTGGTATCTTCCAATAGTATCGAGATTAAAACACTTGTTTGCTAGTGAGATGGAGGCTAAAAATTTGAGATGGCATGCAGATGAATGGAAAGTAGTTGGAATGCTATGACACCCTGCTAATTCTCTTCAATGGAAGAAGATTGATCAACTTTTTCCACATTTTGGGAATGAGCCAAGAAACCTCAGACTCAGCCTTTGTACATATGGGATGAATCCATATGGCAACCTTAGCAGCAAGCATAGCGCATGGCCAGTTCTACTCGTTATCTATAATCTGTCTCCATTATTGTTCATGAAACGCAAGTACATAATGATGTCTATGATGATTTTGGGCCCAAAACAACCGGGGAACGACATAGATGTTTACTTGCAACCGTTAATCGAAGACTTGAAGATGTTATGGGATGAAGGTGTCGATGCGTTTGATGCATATAAAAAAGAATCGTTTAATATGCAAGTGATGCTCTTTTGCACAATTAATGATTTTCCAGCATACGGGAATTTGTTTGGCTACAGTGTGAAGGGGCATAAAGCTTGCCCTATATGTGAAGAAGGCACGTGCTACCATCAGCTCGAACACGGAAAAAAAATGGTCTACCTTGGCAGTCGTCAATTTTTAAAACCGAACCACCCTTATTGTAGATTGAAAAAAGCTTTCAATGGTGAGCAGGAGCATGCAGAAGCTCCAAAGGCCTTAACCACCAAAGATGCTTTCAACCGAGTAGAAAATATAAAGATGAGATTTGGTAAGACACAAAAGCAAGCCGAGAAAAGCTTATGAAAAAAGCGATCAATATTTTTTGATCTTCCGTATTGGAATGAGCTCGATGTTCGTCATTGCATTGATGTGATGCATGTTTAGAAAAATGTGTGTGATAGTCTTTATCACCACGCTTCTCGATATAAAAGGGAAGACAAAAGATACTTTGAATGCACGAAAATATATGGTTTGTATGAGCATACGAGGGGAGCTAGCTCATGTACCCCAAGGTAAGAGGACTTATTTGCCACCAGCTTGTCATACACTATCTAAAAGTGAGAAACGAAGCTTTTGTGAGTGTTTACGTGGAATAAAAGTGCCACATGGGTATTCTTCCAATGTTAAGCGTCTTGTATCAATCAAGGAGTTGAAGTTGGTAGGCTTAAAGTCCCATGATCATCATGTATTGGTCCAACAAATTTTACCAGTGGCCATTCGAGGTATATTATCGAAGAAAGTGAGAAGCACCATAAGTAGATTGTGCTTCTTCTTCACTTCCATTTGTACCAAGGTTATTGACCCTCAAGTGTTGGATGATATTTGTACTGTTTTTGTCGTGATTTTTCTTATTGTTCTGTCGTTATTTTTCTATCATTTCATGTCATTTATTTCATTATTCGTGTAAATAATGTTTTGTTGTGTATTTTTCGTTAATTCGTATCGTTTATATATTATTTCGATTATTTTTCTCTATCTCCTCTATTTTGCGCGTTGATGGTGCGTAGGTCCGAAAATCCGACGGGGAACCGTTTGAATTATATTTTGAGCCAGTGAATGATGGTTGCTAGAGAAATTCGTCAGCTACGCATTGGAAAAAGCAGAATGTGATTTCAAGATTAGACGAAGTCGTACAAAACCGAAACGTGACGACCTACGGATCCAAAATATTAAATCATACAAATAAGTTCATTTTGTCGTGAGCCGACGGGGAATCGATCGAATGATATTTCAAGACGGTGAATAACGACTAGATAGATAAGTGAGTTAGCTACGTGATGGAAAAATCGAAATTCAATTCGAAGTTTAGACGATGTCGCACAAAAATGGAAACGTGAAGTCATACGAACTCAAAATAATAAAACATGCAAGAAGTATATTTCAGCTCTTGTTCACGTCGTCTTCACGCCACGAGTGGGACCACGAGCTAGCTTCAGAGGACCGAAACTTAGCCTCCGCGCCGCGAGGCCAGGCACGCCGTGACCAACACCTCACTCACGCCGTGAACCGCACCGCGCCGCGACCTAACTTCCCTCCACGCCGCGCCGTCTCTCAACGCCGCGACCTTGCACTCCGCCACGCCGCGAGGAAGTCTTCCCGCCGTGCTGCTCCATTTCTCCGTGTCGTGCCGTGCTCCATCCTCCGCGCCGTGAGCAGCCGTCGTGCCGTGGCCAGGTTCTTCTCCACGCCGCGGACTGCTGTTACTCCATGCCAAGACTGCCATGACCAAACTTCCTCTGCGCCGCATCTCTTCTGCCACATCGTGCTCTTCCATCTTCCTCGTCGTGTTGCCATGTCTCGCCGTCGTGCTGTTTTCCGTCCTCACATAGTGAAGAGGAGGTTCCGACGAGCAGCTTTTCTTCTCGCCGTACATACAGCAGGAATCTTTCACATTGTGCAGAAGAAGACCATCCCGCTGCTGCAGCTTCTCTCCGTCCAGCTGAAAATCTGAGCCGTGTTGCTGCTGTTGTCACGCGGTGCTGAGGTCTGCTGTAACGCCGTGAGGGAGCTGATGTCACGCCGCACCAGGAGCTGTTGCCGCGCCGTGCTGCTGCTGTCTTCCACATCATGTTCCGTGACCAACCTTTTTCATGCCGCGATCCGCCGTAACCAACCTATATGCTCGCCATGTTCAAGTTTACGAGCGGTAACAAGATTTCCCTACATGCATGAATATTCCGTCGTAGTGCATGGACGCTTTCTGGGTTTTCTGACAAAGTGAATGAACGTGGAACACTCGTATATTAAAACAGGGAATAAATGCACCACTCACATCCGGTTTTTCTGAAATGATGTTTTTCTCATTCTATATATATTATTATTCCCTTCCTCTTTCTATTATCTATCACTCAATCTATTATTCACGACACTTAACAATGTTCTCTCTTCTTTCTTTTCTTTCTTCTTCTCCTGCTGCAGCTGTATTTCTTTTCTTGTTCTTCCTTTTATTTTGTAATATTGGTTGTGAGAATATTGATCAGTTTTCCGATGATAATTTCGACGACTTGGTTTGGTTTACATTGTCAGTGTGTTGATTGGATTTCCAACGACATATTCAGCGTGTGATTGTAAGTTTCTCATTATTGTTAGCTTAAGCATGCAATAGGAACGTAAGGACTTCGTTGTAAGACTTATTATTCCGGTGTTGTATTTTGTTTACGATCTCAATTGTGGAAGTAAACTTTGCTTTGTGGCTAATGATATGTTGTTATGTTTATCGTTGATTGCGGACTTAGTTATTAAGACGCAAGATTATTGAACTCGAATGTATTGTAGGAAAATTGAGACTTATGTCTAAGCTCGATGATTCCGAAGCAAAGTATTCGATTTTAATATTGAGGTTCCCACATTAGATTTGATTCCGTTGATATATCTCGAATAATTCTTGACGATTAGATTTCGGAAGTTAAGGATTTTAGTTTCAGTGGTTTATTTAATACCATTATTATTCTTTCGTTAGTTAATTTCGACTTAAATTCATCAACCTCTTGATTAGAATGTGTAGGAATTATTTTATCTTTTTGTGTTTGGACAATTAATTGACAAACAATGCTCCGAACAGTCTTCCTTTGAGAACGACTCGAGGTCGGGTAACTCGGTTACTAAATACCCACAAAATATTGCAAACAAATTGGCGCCGTTGCCGGGGAAGGAAAATAGGACGCCTAGTTTGTGATTTAATTGTCCCATTTTTATGTGTTTCTCTTATTCGTGTGAATTTTGATTAATTTCCGTATTCCTTTTAATTTCTCTTATTTTTATAGATAGATTATATTTGCGATTGTGTTTTTGTTTTCCTTGTTTCCCATTGATACCGTGCACGGGTATAGTTTTTGTTTGTGTTTATGCAGGGTAGACGACGATACGCTACTCGAAACGCAACTCGAGAGGCGAACCAAGAGGAGAACGAAGAGGTGAACCGAGAGGAGATCTTAGAGGAGACACCACCGTTCGAACTCCACGACGATACGCAACTTGTAATTCAACCCGAACCAGTGGAGGAACAAAGAGAACAAGTGCCATTACTACCGCCCCCGAACATGAGGTATTTCGCTCGACCAATTATCGGAGACAACACTTCATGCCTTGTGCTCGGGGAGGCGGCCTGGAACTATGACCTCAAGACCATCCACCTCAACCAACTACCTTCATTCCATGGCCTTCCTCAAGAAGACGTCCTCAACTTCATCCGAGAATTTTATTCCATAGTCAACACATTTCCTCTCCAAGGTCTCACCGAAAACCAACTTCGGATGAGATGCTTTCCCTATACGTTGAAGGACCGAGCCAAGACATGGTTCATGACCTTGCTTCCGAACTCGCTTTCCAATTGGGAAGCCGTCTACGAAAAGTTTATGGGGAAGTATTATTCGCCACAAAAGACCACCGACCTCCGTACTCAAATCGCTAGCTTTAGCCAACATCCGGGCGAAACCTTTCACGAGGCATGGGAGCGGTTCAAGGGGTACCAACTTCAATGCCCTTACCATCATTTTTGCCTCGGGGTGCTCAATCAATTCTTTTACGATGGTCTCTACCAAACACTACAATACATGGTCGGCCATGCGGCCGGGGGAGATATCGGGAGTCATACGGAGGAAGAAATCTATGACCTATACGAGATGTTGAGCGAGAATTTGCAAAGGAAGAGTGTGCGCAAAAAGAATTTGGTGAACGAGGCAACACCATCATCCGGTTCCTCGAACGATGCCGTTCTTGCCAAACTTGCCTCATTGGAGGAGGAA